TATGACACATGATTATTACATAATCCAAATGGGGATTGAAAGTCATTTTTGTATCAAATTAGATTCCAAGATGTTTAATTTGGTTTACTCTGTTAATAATAGTATTGCCCAGGGAATATTGAAAATGTATCGGTATATTTTTTCTGCAAAAAGATATAAATGCACATTTGTTAATATTAAGTTTCAATTTATTGAGGTAACAGTATTCTAAAAAAGCATTGAGGTCGTCCTGAATCTTTGAGCAATCTCTATTCGTCGTTACTTCTCTGAAGATTTTCAAGTCATCAGCATATAGTAGTACTTGTGAATGCTTGAAGCAATCTTTCAAATCATTTATAAATACCATAAACATTAATGGACCCAGATGTGAACCTTGAGGGACTCCTGAGGTTACCACAGATGGTTAAGATGGTGAAGATGAATAAGCATACTTGAGCATGCGCTTTTAGGAGTCGCTCCATGGCAACAATAATATTACTAATAATAGTAAAAAATGACAAATAAAGACGCAACAAAATCAATATTTAGGCCAACAAAAACTATCAGACAAAGTCTAAGGTCAGAGAAGGACCCCAGAGAACCTTTAGCATCATCCGGGGTATACCGGATTCGTTGTAGCTACGGGTCGGTCTACATTGGAACCACGAAGGTGCATCTCACTGAACACAAGAGAAATTTTCGATTCTTATAAACCTACAAATCAGCTGTACACGCTCTCAACAAAGAATCCACTCACGTTATCTCATTCGAAGATACAGTATTACTCCCTAAAACTTAAAATTACTATCCAAGAATATATAGAGAGGCCACAGAAACACAGAGATGATTTCAACAGAAAGAAAGAGGCAATGAACTTCAAATAAATTTGGCTACCTGTCCTTAGAGGTACACAAAAAAAGTAAGGTAGTCCAACTAAGAGAAACCAAGCCACGTCCTCTAATAAAAATGAATTGTTTATTCAAATACCACCATCGTAGTTACATCATTTGCACCAACTCGGGCACTACGACCATTACCACATCGCTTTGATAATGCCTACTGCAGTAGTGTACGAAACATCAGGCATGGAAACCTGCAGACCACAGCCAAAAAACCTGGGAAATAGCTTTTACACAAATGAAGCTGAGTCCCCACTTCTATAAAATTTTTGATGCTTATATATTTTTTTTCGTGTTATAATGATTGCAAAACTGAAGCCCTGTATCGTGATTAAATGTCGTTTATTTTTGTCAGTTTTGTTGTGCAACAAACCATCAAGAACCAGAGCAACAACCAGAGAAAAGCAATAT